TTCGGCTGGGGAGAGACGTACTCGGAGGGCGGTGGGGAGTGCCAGGTGAGCCGGGAGCCCTCCTACGCCGTGTTCTCCACCGTGGGCGCGTTCTACCTGCCACTGGGTGTGGTGCTCTTCGTGTACTGGAAGGTCTACAAGGCCGCCAAGCTGCGTGTGGGCCCCAGGAAGGCCAACAGCGTCTCCCCCGCGTCCGAGGTGGCCGAGGTGGGTGTGCAGAACTTCACGTGCATCTGCATCGCTGCCCCGTCCCACGCTGGTAGAAGTGTGGTGGGGGGTCCTGGGAAGGAGAAAGCAAGCTCGGGAGACTGACCTTGCCAAGTTCAGCAGCTCAGAGCTGGTCAAGTGTGGCCTTGGAGGGATTACTTCATATAAAGAAGGGCCTGCCTGGCTCCTAGAGGCCATGCTCTGTGGGGCTCTTTGGGACATCTGCAGAGACGGTGTCCGGGCACCCACATTGCTACACTCTTTAGACACACGCCCCCTGCACCCAGGGGAAGGGGCTCGGAGGAGCAGGTGGCAGCAGGCTGGCACCATGCCACACTGGGGCAGGGTAATGCCTCTCCCAGTCCACATTCTCCCTGGAAAACCATAACCAGTGGTTTTCGCAAAACATGGTGTCTCCTAGTTGCTGACTGTCGCTCTGCTGCACGGCCCCTTCCTGGTGTAAAGGTGGCGATGTTGAGGCGTCCCACTGCCTCTGCTGGTGTCCGCTTCCATTTCCTCCTGGGGCACCTCTGGGCCCCCCGCCCCAGCCCTGTCAGGCTGCGCGTGCAGCTGCTTCACTTGTCTGCCTCCCCAAACGTGATAGAGCCACGTAGGCAATCCCCACCTTGCCAAGAGTGGCTTTAGCATACAGCAACCACGCAGCAACAGCCAGGGCCCGTCCTCACCTTCTTCCAACGCACTCCTTCCTGCTCCGGTGAGTGAATAATCCGACCCTGCGGCTCGCCATTCGGCAGCTCCGGGAGCACCGAGGCCACTGCACGCGGAGGCCGCCCCTCCCGCACACATGCTCCCGGAACACTGCCTCGGCCCTCAGTCACAAATGTAAGCCAGAGCGGAAACCCACGCAGCCCCACGTCCTGCGGTGGCCCTGGACAGCGAAGTCAGGCGAAGGAGGAGTATGGAGCACCCGTGTGGGTGTGGACAGGAGGTAGGCGAGTGACACAGATGGCCTCCTTGTCCATGGCCTCCCCGAGACGGGGAGGGCGATGTCACCATGAGCTCTGCCAGGTGCTGTGTTTTCTAGAGCCACGAGCCAGGCAGGCAGGCTGAGGGGCCAGAGAGGTGGCTCAGAGAATAGGGGACATCGTTCCAGAAGAAAGACAGAGGGGCCGGGTCTGCCCGTCTTTTCATTTCCAACAGTGTTTCTCAGCCAAGGGTGGTGTCACCCCTTGGGAGCGCTGGAGTGCCTGGTGATAGTTCTGATTCCCGAGACTTGGGGACAGGGTGCAGATGGCGTCCTGAGCATAGGGGCTGGGGATGCTGACTGCACAGTGCACAGGACACCCCTAAAGACCTGTTCAGACCACAATGACAGTAGGGCCACACTGGAGAAACTGACCTATTACATTTCTAAAACGGACCAGGGGTCTGATGGGTGGGATCGCTGGGGCTCCAGAAAACCACCTGAACTCCAGGCCGGGCACTGGGCCATCCTCATGGGCATCCCCTCCTGGCAGAATGCTTGTCCCGGCAGACACAGTTTACAGTCCATGAAACACAGCTTTAGCAGGAGGGCTCATGTACGGTTCTGCCCCAGGCTCGCTGGGAGGGGATGAGGGGCTCTCTCATTTCCCTGCTTTGGCGACTGCAGAAGTAGTGGCCTCTCGCTTTCAGTCTCTCTAGCTCTCTGCCACATCACTCGCACACTCGACTCCCGGTTTTACAAAGCTTCTACACGAAGCATTGCCCTGGGCATAGTGTGGGGCTTCCCGTCGTAATGTTGGAGGGCTCATTACAAGCCAGACCCCTGATTTCCATGTTAGTGGGTGCTGGTGCCTCTAAATACGTTCTGCCCCGGCTAGCCATGCTGCCTAGGCAACACAACGCTTCGCCCCTGCCTCTTTTTCCGCCGATTTTTAAGTTTAGGCTGCAACCTTGCCCTGTGTCAGTCACTGAGATGGGAACTCGCAACACAGGATGGAGACGCACTGCCTTGTCAAGGGACGGAACAACCGGAAGACATGAACTGCAAAGCCGGCCGGCAGATGCCGCCCAGAGAGAGCTGAGCTGGTCGGGGCACTCCCCCGGAGCAGAGCGGGAGGCGGTCTTCAAGGACACTCTGGGAGGCCTGGGGTGGGGTTGGAGGGTGCTCCATGTGAGCGGAGCAGCCACGGTTGGCGGGGTGTTATCCAGTGGTGTTTACCTGAGCGAGTTCATTCCTCGTGGCCCGAGTCTCAGAAGCAAGGGGCTGACCCTGGCTTGTAAAGGTGTCTGTATTCAGATGAATCACCCTTGATTGGCAGAATGGGCTTAAAACTGGCTGTGGGCCACAGAGTACCGTGTCGCCCTCAGTGGGGATATTTAATTCCTGGACCCCAATGCTCTTGTCCTCATTTAACCAACTAGTGCTTCAGGAGAGACACCAGGGATGACGCAGGCCTGTCCCTGTGGATGTTCCTAGGAGAGGAAGCTCCACCCGAGGAGATCTCTGTGAGGGCTCACATTGTCGACGTACTGTATCCACTTGTTAAATCGGCCGTTGGGACAGAGCTGAGCAGACCCAGCACTCGGGACAGCAGCGTGGACAACCAGAGACCCACGGGTACCCGGAGAACTGTGAGGAGCCACTGGACCATACCCCAAGGAGGACCCAAGCTTCCCAGCTCTCGTCCAGAAAGCAAGTCTGCCAGATCCTGGTGTCTTTCCCAGTTGGCTAGGAGGCCTTTTACTCTATCTTAAATACGGGAAGTTTTACCTCCGTGTTAATCCAACTACCACAGGGAGTGTTAGCTATGGGCTAGGATCCTTTGTGGTTGGCTGAAGGAAAATTGTCAGCTATTCTGTTAACCACGGCTATGTAGGCTAGGGGATTTAAAAGGGTTGTTGTGGCCAAGAGGTTAGGCTGCATAATCCATGTCAGCCAGTAGACGCTTAAAAATCAAATCTAGTTGTCTAACTCCTGATGGGTTATGTTCCCTCCGTACTCTTGAAAGGTGGATGACGGCTTTGGAGAGTTGCACGTTGGAATTGCCCTGTGGAACACTTGGCTCTGGTTCTGGGTTGACATGGAGAAGATCAATTTCAATTTCGGATCAAGAACCCAGTGTCCACAGAGATGCGACCCACGCTACTGTAGGCCCACTGTCCATGACTACTGTCGAGATGGTCACTACTCCAGTGGTCACCTGCTTGTCCCAAGGTTCTGGGTTAGCAGTCAGTGTCCACGTCTGTCCTCTGGAGAGTCTCTGGAGGACCTTCGTGTCAAGTCGTCAAGTCATTTGAATTTGTTGTTCTTTTTTTGGTTGTTTTTGTAAAGACAGGGTTTCACTTCAACTTAATCCTGAATTTATGAGCCTTCTGCCTCAGCTTCCCAAGGGCCTGGGATCTGCTGCTCATTTTAAAAGGGTACCTGGCCACCAGCAGATGGCGTAACAGTTATGTCACTGGACTCCCAAGCAGTTGACTGCAGGTTAAGTTCCGGACCTGGCATTTTAAAATTCACGCCGGGTGCGTGTGTATGCATGGCCAAGATCCCGAGAGGAGACTGGAGGAGAAGGGATTGTGGCATGGCCATCCCCCCCCGGGGGGGGGGGGTGATTACTCGCTTTCTGTCTCTCTGTCTCTCTGGAGAGTACACATACCCTACAGCAAAAATCTCCCTTAAAATAAAAAATGCACCTGAAGATGTGTCTGTAACATTCTAACAGGTTAAATGAGGGAATTATTCTGAAGGTCTGCTAGTTACTAGTTTTTATGCCCTCTCCCTTATTTTAGCAATTTGACATGACCTGGGAAGGGGCCACAGTTACATGGTTGAACAACTTGGCTTCTGGTAAGACATTAGATTTTTAAAAATTTTACTTGCTATAGGGGCACGTGTACTCGCTAGAGAGAGACAGAGAAAGAAGGGGAGGAGTGAGAAAGCCTCCCTCAGGGGGATGACCACACTGCAATCCCTTCTCCTCCATTCTGATTGTGGGATTTGGGCACACCTGCACATGGGCCCCCTTCTATCTTTTATGTAGTACCTATCAACAAACAATTTTAGTTGGCCTTTGGTCCTAGAAAATAGAAGTTCTCTCTAGGCCAAGGACAGTAGTTACAAAAACAAATCCTGAGGGTCCCCTCCTTGGTGAAGGGCAACGTAGGTGCTGGGTTACAAGTGCGCCAGCAGCGGGTGGTGCCAGGAGGAGACAGTGACCTGGGTCATTACGAATCAGCCAGGAGGGACACAGTGGCAGTTTCGGTCAACAGTAGGGATTTACTCCTTGCGATAAGAGATTTCAAGACCTGACGTAAGGTGTTCTGAGCTACGTGCCTAGTTTAATCGCCGCCTGTAAGCTCTCGGAGGCAAGGAGGCAATGCCTTGCTTACCAAGTGATGCGACCGGCTTCCGTGGCTCCCAGGTGGGGTCCTGGGGACGGGCGTGCTGCGCCACTCACCTGCAGCACACTCCCGCAGTTTGGTATTTGCGTGATGGGAAAGGCTCTCCGTAACCACGGGGTGGCCAGTCTGCACTCCACACGTTCCGCTCCGCCGACTGTCTGTCTGTCTGTGGAGGCTCTTGGCAAGAGGGACTCGAGAGCCATCGCTGTTTCTTTAGTGACTTCCTGAGCCGTCCACAGAGGGGGTGTCCTTGTGTCTAGGTCGGCTGTCGGGCCTTTCTCTCCGGAAGCAGATCCTCCCTGTTCGATGTGTAGGCGTGCCGCGGAGGTGAGAGACGCACTCGTCTCCTAAGGACCCTGAAACGTTGGTTACGAGCTGGAGTACAGGACAGTGAGAGGCTCTTGTTACTTAGATGGTTCTAGTAAATAAAGGTGGCTTTCCTTCAAGCCTTTAAAAAATGTACTATATAACAGGGCCAGTAGGTGGTGCAGTGGTCAAGGTGCTGGACTCCCACATAACCATGCCTGTGGTTCAAGTCCTGGACCTGGCAGCTTGCTTTCTCACTTTCTCTCTCTCATCAAATTAAAAAAGGATAATAATCATGAATAAGAGAAATTACTTTTTAAAATTTACTATATAGTTACAAATTTGTCTTTCATGTTCTCCTTACTTCATCTGATACAACCAATCATTTTTTAAAAGAATAATTTCTCTGTTGTAAATTTTTAAAATTTTTTTCAAGTTCCGGGGCTGTGTGGAGATAACCAGCCCACACTGAATATTCTCTAACCTGGCAATTTGTTTCAGTGATTTTTCTTATTACGTTTCCTAATTCTACTCTGAGCCCGTTTACAGGAAGCGAGACAAACGGGTGCATAGCAGAGTACTGCTCGGACCTTTCTAAAGTGTATTTTTTATGCTTGTTTAGTTTACAGTTTTGAACCCTTATTTAATGTTTCCTTAAAAGAAAGACTTCAGAAATAGCCTTCTATAATGTATTTTCTATTTTTACATTTAAGTTTTCTCAGCTAGGTTACATAACTCTTCTCTTTTCCACCCTTCTGCTCTTAAGCATTTTCTCCATCTGTGGAGATTTCGATGAACTTAACGAGTCAGTACAGATCTATAGCCCAGGACAATGAAAATTATACTTGATATTCTAACAAAATTCTACATTCTATAATGCTTTTTTTCTCCTTTCCTAGGAGTTTAAACAAAGTTTATTAAATTTTTCTTTTAAAGTTGTTATGAGAGGGTACATGCTCTCACGAGAGAGAAAAGGGAGAGGGTGCCCCGATAGGGTGTGGCCATTCTGCAGTGCCTTCTCCACTTCACCGTCACGTCAGGGTTTGGAGCAAACACACAACCCGGTGTGTTTTTCAAGCTGCTGGGACTGGGATTTGAACCGTATTCAGTCATGTGGGATCCAGTTCCCATAAATACTAGGCCACAGGTAAGCCCTTACCAAACTTCTTAGTTAAAGGCCCTAATTTACCTGTATATCAGAGTTTAAATTTAAATTCTATAACTCTGACTATCTGACAACATTTCAATATAATTTCATTTTTCCTAAGAAAACTCTAAAGACAGGTAGTCCTTTTAGTGGGTAAGAAAAAGCCGAATAGAAATATGAAAATAGATGCAAAAAAGGTGCATTCTGTGCATTTACAAAGTCGTTGAGACTATTTCAGTGAGAATTTTGCTGGGAGGCCTCAGCATAGCCCTACAAAGCTGACTGCTAACTGATGTTTGCCTTCTAATTTTGGGGGGCTTCTTTTAAACATGTTCATTGATTTTAACAGTTAGAAGCTCCTCATTGGGTTTAAAAAGTTATTTTGGCATATCCGAAAAGTGCCAGAGTTAAGATGGCAAGGTTGGAGCTGGCAGGCGGTGTGGTGGCTAAGGCACTGGCCTCCCACATGGTCAGCTAAGGTTTGAGTCCCAGACCTGGCAGCTTGCCTTCTCTCTCTCTCCCTCTGATCAAGTTGAATAATAGCAATAATAATAATAATAATAAGTGGGTTAGATTAAGCAGACAGACCTGACCTGGCCCACGACTACAAGCCACGTGTGGCTTGAGAATACCGCATTGTCCTGCAAGGCAAGTGGAAGTCACAGTGCTGGCTTTGGGGGGGCATCCAAGCGGCGCAGTCCCACCGGCCAGAGCGCGGCGGGTGGACACGCAGACTGTCCCACACTGCATCGGATCAGTTAATTTACTAACCTAGTCGATCCATTCGTTGCAGGTCACCATATTTACACTCCTCAACAGACCCTCGTCCCCATTCTCCTAAGAGCCCAAGCAGCAGAGTGAAGGAGCCCTTGTCTTCCCAGGAGAGGGGAGGTGAGAGTGGGGAGCCCGATTCCGCAGCACTTGGGAATACCAAGTGGAGAGAGGTGGAGAGTTTGGAGTCTCTGTTTTCCATAAATCGGGGCGGGGGGTACACACAAACTCCATCCAGAGAAAGCAGGCAGGCGCTGGAAAGAGGACTGTTCCCAGGAGGACAGGTTAGGGAGCCACGGTAGGAATCTCTCACCAGAAGGAAAGCTCCAGAACACTCTAACAGTGTAGAGGGCACTTGCAAACCCTGGAAAGTCTGAAAGTTGCTAGAAAACCTGGGGCGGGGCTTGACGGGCGTAGCAGGCCTTGTTACTCGGGCTTTGCCGCAGGGTGCTTCCGGGCCCACAGCGTCCGGGCCCAGCCTGGCCCACGCCTGGCCCTCGGCGTCCGCTGGGCCCACCCCTAGCCCTCGGCGTCCGGGCCCAGCCTGGCCCACGCCTGGCAGGTGTGCAGCGGCGGCTCCCCCTAAAGCCTCTGCTTGTCTCGCGCAGGTGAAGGACGCAGCACAGCAGCCCCAGACCGTGTTCACCGTCCGCCACGCCACCGTCACGTTCCAGACTGAAGGGGACACGTGGCGGGAGCAGAGGGAGCAGCGGGCTGCCCTCATGGTGGGCATCCTCATCGGGGTGTTCGTGCTCTGCTGGATCCCCTTCTTCGTCACCGAGCTCATCGGCCCGCTCTGCTCCTGTGACGTCCCTGCCGTCTGGAAAAGCATCTTCCTCTGGCTCGGCTACTCCAATTCCTTTTTCAACCCCCTGATCTACACGGCTTTCAACAAGAACTACAACAGCGCCTTCAGGAACTTCTTTTCCAGGCAGCACTGAGCAGGGGCGGAGCCATCATGCCATGGATGTCGGCTCAGTGTGTGCCACATCGCAGCCGCCAGCCGCAAGCTACTTCGAGGGCTCTTTCCTGGGTCTCCTCGGAACGAAAGCAGCCTCAGGCGGCACTCGCGGCAGGAGCAGGCAGTTTCGGTGACCTCGCCTCTTGGGCTTACCTAAAGGCCTGACTGTACCAACAGCCACGGACTTGGTCAACGGAGCACCCTTTCTCGCCTGGGGAGACCAGCTTGGCTGCTGTCATTGTCCTAGGGAAGTCAAGCCAGGCAGATGAGAGGGACAGAAAAGAATCCGGGGACATCTGGGGGCGGAGACCATACTTCTTGCTTTCTGTATAGTCCCCATTTCAGATACCCCGTTCTGTGGTCCTAGCAAAGCGCACCTAATCTTTAGAGGCTAGATCCCAGTAGTTGACCACAATCTTGTCCCCAACCTATATAGCCCCACCTATGAGACCAGTGAATATCGGCTGTAAGGGTTCCCTGTGGCAACTCCACACACACACACACAAACACACACACGCACTCACACATTCACACACTCACACACACACTCACACACACACACACGCAGCCATAGGAGGGGCGACTGCACCAGGCGGCTGGTCTAGCCCAAATGCAGCCCACCCATGTGGAACAGCACTCCGAGTCCAATCAGAAGCTACCCTAACATTTTGGAGCACCTGTTCACAAACGACAGCACACCTGCCGTTTCAGAAGCCCAGTTATACTCCTGGGTGCCTGTTCAGAAGCTCTGCTCACAGTCCTGTGTCTTTGGCTCATGAGATTAGAGTGAAATAACCAGCACGAAGTTGCCAGCTTCTTAAATCCAGCTTACGACCCGTCCCTGGGAGGCAGCTCACCGTGCACGAGCTCTCAGGGTTTGGTACCACCGGGCGAGCTGCTGCCTGCTGTGGTGTATGAATGCTGCAAGGAGGCCCAGACTGTAGGTCGCCAGAGAAGCCGAACGGTCGTGAGCCGTGGTCTCAGTCCTCTGCACAGGAAGTGGACATGACACGGGGCACAGAAGCACAGAGAGCCCAGCTGTTATACCAAACTGCAGAAAGGTCTCATAATTCATTTGCCCAAGGCCTGCTGTGCCTGACATTCCGAATGCCTACATCAAAAACATGTATTACAGTAACCCCTAAGTTATGATACACACGATGCTGTGGGTCATAAGGTATTTCAGTTTGGACTTCCAAAGTAGGGAATTTGTAACAATTGCTTGAGGGTTAGTCTTGCATTTGCAGTAACGATTGCTTTCTTTTCTTCTTCTTCTGCTTCTGCTGCTGCTTCTTCTTCTTCTTCTTCTTCTTCTTCTTCTTCTTCTTCTTCTTCTTCTTCTTTTAATTTACAAAGAATGTGAGAGGGTCAGAAAACATGGGCTACTGAAGCCACAACTGCTAGTGCACAGGAAGTGGACATGACACGGGGCACAGAAGCACAGAGAGCCCAGCTGTTATACCAAACTGCAGAAAGGTCTCATAATTCATTTGCCCAAGGCCTGCTGTGCCTGACATTCCGAATGCCTACATCAAAAACATGTATTACAGTAACCCCTAAGTTATGATACACACGATGCTGTGGGTCATAAGGTATTTCAGTTTGGACTTCCAAAGTAGGGAATTTGTAACAATTGCTTGAGGGTTAGTCTTGCATTTGCAGTAACGATTGCTTTCTTTTCTTCTTCTTCTGCTTCTGCTGCTGCTTCTTCTTCTTCTTCTTCTTCTTCTTCTTCTTCTTCTTTTAATTTACAAAGAATGTGAGAGGGTCAGAAAACATGGGCTACTGAAGCCACAACTGCTAGGCTAAATGCAGATCTCATCTCTGCACCGGAGCAGAGTCGCTGATGAATTTACCGGAAACATTCTGGGTACCTCAGTTGCAGGGCTAAGCCCAGGTGTCTGAGAGGGTGGGCTGAGCACTGACTCCGGTCTCCTTCCCTGCTCTCACTGGAAATCACAGAGACCTTCAAGAAGGTCAAGAAGTGCCTGGACACCCTCCCAGAGCAGCCACAGCGGGGCAGGGTGGCTGCAAACACAGAGACCCCGAGCTCTGACACCACAACCTGACGGTCACTGAAGTCTGTTCCAGCTGAAAGTCCATGTGAGGTTCCCATTCTCTCCCACACTGCAGTGTCTGTCTTATCGAGTTAAACCAAACAGAACAAAACAAGAAACAACTTTATTTCCTCCAAACTTTTCAGAAAACAGGAAGCCTTAGGATGACGGCCGTGTTCGTCTGGTGCGTCTGTGCACCCTAGCTGCAGAAGGATGTTGCTACAGTGTTAGTTCAGACCCTGCTGAGGGTATCGGTGATATTTCCACAAGACGAGTAAGTGCTGCTACCGTTACCTCCCAGTATGAGCTCGGCGCCTGACAGACCTCACTTCAGTTACACATTACATGCAACACGCTACACGCATGCGACACACTATACATGTGCAACGTGTCATACACATGAAACACTCTGCGTGCAACATGCCGCACATGTGAAACACGTTATACACGTGCAACACACTATACGTGTAATGCGTTATGCACACACAACATGCTATGCATGTGCAACATGCTATCCACGCAACACAGAAAGCAAGAAACACTATGAGAAGGAATGAACGATCTATTACTAGTTAATTACTAGCTTCCATTTCAATATCAAAAGTTATTTATCTCCCCAAGTAAAAAATATCACAACGTGTAGACATTGACTGATCTGGGGTCTCTGGTGTGCAATTTGAAAAATGGAGAAACACTTCCGTTTACTCCTACCTGATAGTAAACAGGTTTACCCCTTTCCGCTTCCTCCTTCAGACGCTAAGGCAACCACCCATACGGGGAGGTCATGTTTGCACCCAAAGCGCGGGATCTTAAGGAATTTTCTCTAAGACTTGGGAGCACACCTGCTAGTGAGAGATTACGACATGGCTTGCAGATTCTAACAAACAGCCTTGCTCAGAGGACGGCAGGACTAACAAACTCCTAATTAACCAGAGACTTCAGCACACTGAATCTTTGTTTGGAAAATGATAGGTTTACTGTTTTTGAGCTAATAACGACTGCACTTGGGTCTTTAAAATGATAAAAGCTGACTTTAAAAATGTAATAAACGAAGCTTGATCTTGGACACTCAACACCGACTTGAAACCTGAGTTCTGCAATGATCGTTAGAACTGCTCTGAGACGGGACGGGATCAAACTTGGCCCGAATGCAGCCTCTGCCCTGAACTTTCCCTAAGGTACACACCCAATTATGGGCTCAGTGTTGTGTCCCCTGCCAGCCCCCAGGGGGCCGATATTCAGAGGTGGGGCTTTCGGGAGGTAACCAGGGTTAAATAGCTCATAAAAAGCTTGCCCTCTTTGGATGTGTGCAAAGAAAAGCAGAGCAAGAAGGTGGCCATCTACAAGCCAGGAAGAGAGCCCTCACCAGAGACGGAATCGGCTGGCACCTTATCTTGGACTCCTCTCCTCCGGAATGGTGAGGAAATAGCTTCCTCTTATCTAAGTCCGCCCGTTGGTGGCATTTGTTAAGCAGCCCACGCTGACTAATACACCCAGGTTTGCTTGCTTAAAATGCAAATTCTGGTACTACTGGCATAGTTTAAAAAATAATATATTTATGTGTCTTTTCCTAATCATTTCCAGACATACAGGCTTATCCCTGCTCGCCAGAGGTAGCCATCTGTCAGGGCTGGAAGTTCGGACTCAAGAGGTCTGCACCAGGGTCCTTAGTAAAGTCCCAAGAGGCAAGACAAGGCCAGCCCAGCTCAGAGGCAGTGGAGAAAGCAAGACCAGCATTCTGGGGCCACGACAGCAGTGAGTGTGGAAGCACTTCCTCAGCCACCCTCTCCAGGGAGGCCAACTCAAGGAAGAGAAGCAGTTAAAATGAAGCATTTATCTGAGGAGGGACTCATTCATAAGATTATTTAAGCCTTGGGGCCATTTCCCACCAACCCTTGCAACACCTTGACCCCCAGCTGTTCCTGTCCACCCTCCTTCTAAACCTGAATGATCTAGGCTGTGCTGCTGAGCAAGTACCCAGTCTCGCTGCCTATACACCTCAGTTTCCCCATACCTTTCAAGAATTTGTACAGTGAACAAGCTCAGAACAAAACTGAACTTTGAATGGTCTTTCCCTCTTTATCATTTTAATTTGCTATATGCATATGCACTCACCAGAAAGAGACAAGAGAGAGCGAAAGCAAGCCACCAGGTCCAGGACTTGAACTGTGGTTGGCCATGTGGGAGTTCAGCACCTCAACTACTGAGCCACCTGCTGGTCCTGAAGGTTTTTCTTCATCTAAATCAGGGATTGGCATTTTTTTCCTGCAAAAGGCCAGAGAGTGAATTTTTTTGCTTTTAATTTGCCAGAAGGTGTATGCAATCACCAGAGAGAGACAGAAAAAGGAGAGAGAGATCACCCCCGGTAGGGCGTGGCCCCTCGCACCATGACTCCTCCAATTTCCTTAGGTGACTCCATTTGTACTTTGCTGGATCCTCTTTGCTAGTGTTCTCTCGCACCGATTTTCCCCTGTCACTTTCATTTCCTCTCCTAGTGTGTGATTTCTCACGCTCCTTCTGTCTGCTCCTTATTGCGCTTTGGTTACATCTCTACTCTGTTACTTAATTCTGTAACAGAGCCTTCATGTTTTTGTTGATTATCTTTTGCTTTGTTTCTATTTTGAGTTGTGTGAGTTCCCACCTCTTGCCTTAATGTCGCTTTATTTCTATTCTAAGTTTCTGAGTTTGAGTTTTTGATTCATAGAATCACAGCTACTGTACATTGGGTTGTTGGTTTCCCTCGGCATTGGATGTTTTACACAAGAAAAGTATCTGAATAGAAAACCCAACTGAGAATGTAAGTTGGCAACTCAAAAAAAATCACATATGACCAATAATGGTATAAATGTTACTATAAATCATGAAAAATATATTATTAAAAATATTTAATTTTGAGATGAACAGATGGCATAGTGGTTACATTGCTGGACTCCCACGTGGCCAGCTGTGGTTTGAGTCCTGGACCCAGTGGCTTGGCACTCACACTGGATGCACATGTGCATGCCCCAGATCCTGAGAAGATGGGACTGTGACATGGCCATCTCCCCAAGGGGTGATTTCTTGCTGTCTCTGTCTCTCTGGTGAGTGCATGCACCCTATACCAAAAATCTCTCTCAAGAAAAATAATATTGAATTTCTAAAAATTTGCTATAGGGTATGTGTGCTCACCAGAGAGAGACAGAGAGCAAGAGAAGGCCAGAGAGAGGGAAGGTGAGAAAACACCCCCAGGGAGATGGCCAGGCTGCACCTCCCTTCTCCTACATTCTCCTGTTGGGATTTTGGGCACGCACACATACACACACCTGGCATAGTTTTCAAGCCACGGGGGTCTAGGACTTCTATTTTAAACAGATAAAATCAAGCTCCTGAAATGTAAAAACAAGCTCAGATTTGTCTCTATTAGAAACCCCGCATCAGAAGGTGCATGACCTGTGGACTCTGCAAGCCAGAGTACAGTTCTGTTTTCAAGGACTTACAGGGGAGCAAAGCCTTCAGGAGAGCGCTGGTGACCCCACAGCCTGGAGTTGCTGTGAAGTGTGGGACTGAGGGTGGTGCAGCTCCTGGAGGGCAGCCCCTGGACAGAGGCCACCTCGTACTACCTGCCTGTGCAGCTCCTGGAGGGCAGCCCCTGGACAGAGGCCACCTCGTGCTACCTGCCTGTGCAGCTCCTGGAGGGCAGCCCCTGGACACAGACCGTCTCGTGCTACCTGCCTGTGCTGCTGAGAGCTCTACACCCAACCCCTGACCCCACTAGGTAGTCTCCAGCTTCCGGAAAACTCCATGTGTATCTTAGCATCACATCCCAATCCAGTGTGCATGGCTAGACTCTGTTAAGTCCCCAACTCACCAGCTCCCATCACAGAGGTTCTCGGAGCTACTTGCAGGGTGATTCTGTGACTAATGTCTCCATTGTCCCCTTGGGCAGGTGGATAGATCAGGGCAAGACCATCCGTGCTTATTGCTCCTGCCTTTCTTCCATGAAAGTCATCAACTCCAGGTGGAGACCTCACCACCTGCTTCAGGGAGACGAGATAGGACCAGAAGGGAGGACCTGTGGACGCAGGCATTCTGCCGCAGGTGGGTGTGCGTGGAGGGGAGGAAAGGGAGTAGTCACGAGACGCTGCAGGACAGGAGTGCTCACCCAGCACTTTTTTAATAATAAAAATGGGCAGGAGGAGCTTTAATATTGGCCAGTGGAGAATTAGATGCCACAGAGCTCCAAAAGCAGGACTTACAGTATGATACTGCTCTCACCTCTTTATGCGCATTTGTGAGCTTGGGTTCATCCAGCCCAGGAGAGTACAGGGCAG